TGTGAAAATGTAGTGTTATTGCTGAAGAACTTGCTGAAATTAGCTAAAAAAAAACATGAACTGTAGCTGAAATGAAAGAACAAGCCTTAATTGGAAGAAGAAAGCATAGAGAACACTTTTTTTTGTTGTTGCTGAATTAGGTATAAAAAAGCAGAAATGCCCACAGAAATGAGGAAATCGGCTAAAAAAAAAAATGCTGAAATTAGAAACGGATAGCTGAAAGGCAGAAAGAAGCTTAAATTACCAGAAGGAAGTGGAAAGAGCTGAAATGAGCTAAAAAAAAATGCGTAGTTAGATTAAAAATCTAAATGTGGCATAAAAACAGCTAAATAGTAGCTGAAATAGCAGAAAATGCTGAAACTAGCAGAAATAAGCTGAAAGGAGCATGACAAGATGAAATTACCACAAAGTTAATTAGGCTGAAAGTAGCAAAAATTACCATGAAAAACTTAAATTTATCTGATTTCAGCTGAAATTATCTAAAAAAAATGCTAAATAGCTGAAAAGGTAGAACAAGCTTAAGTTGGCAGAAAAAAGCAGAGAGAACACGTTTGCTCGATTTTTGCTGAAGAAATTGGCCGTAAAAAAAGTAGACCTTATCTGAAAAAGCTTAAATTAGCAAAACGACAGCCTAAAAGCAGCTAAAAATTTAGAAAAAATCTTAAATGACCAGAATTAGAGAGTGCATTTTTGCTGAATTGGGCTGAAAAAAGTTGAAATGAGTGCAAAAAATATGGAGTTAGCTGAAAAAGCTAAAATTAGCATAAAACAGTTAAATAGTAGCTGAAATAGTAGAAAAAGCTGAAACTTGCAGAAATAAGCTGAAAGGAGCAGAACAAGCTGAAATTAGCAGAAGGAAGTTAGAAGAAGCACAAAAATGTTGAAGTTGGCAGAAAGAATCTGAAAGGAGCATGGAACAGCTGAAGTTAGCTGAAAATAGCTGAAAAAAGTTTTAAATTTGCACAAGGAAGCTGAACCGGAACAAAATATGAAAGAAACGGTAAAAGGTTGTAAACAGATCTAAATATTTGAAGGATGTAAAATGAGCTCAATTTTCTATGAGGAAAAAAATTGCAAAAAAAAAAGAAACATTCAATAAAATAATTCAAAAAGCTAAAGTTGCATCAATACCAAAAAGTCATAGCAGGATTGTCCAGAAAGAGCTGAACGTTTTGATGTTATTTGTTGAAGTAGCTTGAAAACTGCGGGACGAGAATCGCGTCGAAAAATGGATCACGATAGAATGAAAGCTTCATCGACATTCACACAATGAGACGGAGGGACTCTTCCATTTTCACCTCCTGTCACAATTTGTACACGTTCAGGTTAAGACTGAACAAACGGAGTAGAAAAAACCCTGAGAACAGTTGGGAAAGTGTTCAAGAAAAAAACTGTTTGTTTTACTGCTTGAGATTGTGCATATCATTTACAAAACGGCTTTTCACGCCGTCTTTTCTCAGCACAAACCTATTTTTTAATTTAATAAATTTGTCATGAAAGGTGGCGGGTGATATGCATTCCTTCAAAGAGGCATGAAGCGTGCATCCATGATGATGGACTTCTTTGCTTTAGTTTCTTCTACAGCCTCGCGGCAGCATTGTCAGGTCGTTGCACTTTACCTGCAGCAACACATTTCTCGTTTGAAGACTTTCAAACCTTCCATTTGCAACATGTCTCACTCCGTTTGCCTTGTTGTCCCACTGCTGCTTGTTTCTCACAGCCTTTTCCAACAAATCCATCCTACCTTTTCTTAAAGCTTTTCTTCCTGTAGCACTAATTACTTCCCTCCTTGTTTGCTGCCAGGCTGTCTGTGGATTCTGATGCATGTTACGCGTTTGTCTAACAGCTTGACAGAATATTCACCACAAGACGACATGACGGCACTTAAATCTGGCATGCTGTTCCACCTGAACATGCTTCTTGGCTCATACACTGGAACGTGTTTTAATCACCCCATTGAGATAAATGTACACGATAAACGAGATACAAAAATGCAATGACGTTTTATTTTGTTCCTTGATGGGCACGTCGATGGAAAGAGGCTAAATTATTCCACCATAACAAACACTTTTGTTTTTTTTAGACCTCAGTGATTTTATTAGTAACCCTTGTGATTGCTATGCACAGCAGCACAGGCCTTCAGAGCCTGGAGTGGCCCAGTCTGCTCCTCTGTAGCTGGCACTGAAACTGTGTGTGTGTGTGTGTGGGGGGGGGGGGGGGTTCCTCATTTTTGCCATCTTTAGAGAAGCTTGTTAAACAGTTTGTTTCTTCTCTTCCTGACCAGAAGCAGAGCAGAACTTTTGAGTTTGTCGGCTGCAGCAATCATGATTTAAACTCGTGTGTGTGTGTGTGTGTGTGTGTGTGTGTGTGTGTGTGTGTGTGTGTTAAGCTTTTGTGAGTATTGTGTTTTTGTTTCCACATATTTCTATTTATTCTTCCTCCCCCCAAGGCATTAAAAAAAGAAAAAAATACAACAATCACACTATTAAAAGTAGTCTGATGAAATGTAACTTTTTTTTTTCTCATTTGAATTTGATGGCAGCAACACGTCTCAAAGATGCTGAATCAGGGCCATGTTTAAACCTCTCCTGGGCTTATGTTGAATATTTCCTCTTGATTTCTCCAGATTCCTGA